GCAGTAATAATTCAAAGATCTTATTTGTTTAAGGATGATAAAAATGATGAAAATGATAGTGAAAATGACAATAGCAAATCAGATGATGATAATCTTGTAATCCCTAATCATCAAGTAACAGTTTTAATTATTAATAATATTGTAGACCTCAATCATCAAACGTTTAATTTAGTGGATAGTTCATATATTTTAAATGAAGAAAATAGTATTTCTGATATTGCGATGAATGAAGTTTATGAATTTAATTTAGAAAAATTAATTTAAGAAAATTTTGAATAATATAGTATATTAAAGTCATATATATGTATTAGACTATAAATAAAATTTATATATATTAAATTCCTTGTTAATTTGAATACTTAACTTTTTATAACAGTTTATTTTACTTTTTTTTTTATTTTTTTATTTTTGCTTTTTATTTTTCATCAATATTATTATAAATCAATATATTTAGAATAAACTGTATTGCATATTTGTGAATTACAGAACATAGGAGAAAGATCATCTGATTGACATATTTATAGACCTACCTGTGATTACTTATATAATTTTAAAAAGTTTATTATTAGAAAACAAAGAAACTTTGTAGAATAGATAGATACATATAAAGTGAAATAAAGGCGATATTCATTATTAATAAATCCAAGCTTATTATAATTTACGATCTATAAACCAAAACTTATTATAGATGACAGACTCAAACATCATACAAGAACCAAATATATTCAAGTATTAAACCCAGAACTTCTTATACAGTAAACCTATTTTTATTTAAATTCAATAGTCAGTAATAGAAATTTTTTTTAAATCTAATGCAATAAGGCTGTCTTGAGCAAAAACAATCTCACTTATCTTTATTTTAGTATAATCTAAGATTGTCTAATAAACAGTAGATATATTTTATCTTCTAAGCAAAGTTCGTTAGGATTAAAATTATTTTATTATTTTGCTTAGTGAATATTAACGTTCGTTTAAAGCTAGAAATGGTTTTTGATGCTATTTTTTATTAGTGAAATATTATATTATCAAAAAGTACTTCTCTGGCAATTGTTTTAGTTAATCAATCCTAAAAAAATTTTGAACTTTTGATCTGTACTAATAGTGCATTTAAACCATCTTCCCACAGGCTAATCTATCTTCTCACTCTCAACATATCTTATTAAACATAGGAATTTATTAAAATAGTATATCATAACTTGAGAAATATTTATTATCACAGTTAAAATCTATATTTGCAGATTAGTAGTCAATATTTTCAAATTTTGGATTTACAAATATGCTGTAATGAACTTGCTTAGTTATCTAAAAGGTTATTTAGATTGTAAATATTTATTTTATTTAATACCCATTTTATTTGTATTAAAGTGAGTATGAAATCAAAGATAAACTGCATAATTATATTTACTATTATGTATTATTATTCTATTTGCATTGATTTAGTAATGAGTATAAAATTATTAGTTAACTGATATATCTAAGCTATTCAAGTAAATATATGTTGGTATAATTTACTTTGATTTAGTTAAGCAGGAATTTATATTGAAAAACAAATTCATGGATATTTACTATTATGATTATACTTTTGGTTTTACTATTATCATCTTGCATTATTAAACTAGCTCTTTCTTTATCTACTAACTCAAAAAAAATATGCATATAAGGAAGCAGGTATTGTATTTTAAGATAAGTAATTTTTATTTTTAAGGTTAATGATTTTGATGAAAATACATTTTGGTTAATTACAAATAGCAAAAATCAAATTGATCTCTGGCATGCGATTTAGTTTTGGACATTGAGCTGATTATACTTATCTAAAAACATGTGCTGCAAGGCTCTGCGACTATATAATAATATAAGGATCTTATAAGTTTTTTAATATGTTTCATCAACAATGATCATTATTTTAGTAGTTCAAAATTGTAACACTTTAATTGATAGTATTGTAGTTTAATTTATATATATATAATTAGTTATATTGTATAGGCAGATTTTTCAATTTGGTGATTATTAAAAATTTATAACATTTCATAAAATTTAATCCAATTATATATATGATATTGTATGATTTTTGGTAAAATAGAATTGATATTACTTGATCTCCAGTAAAATTGAATTAATATTACTTGATCTCTAGTAAAATTGAATTAATATTATTTGATCTTTGGTAAAATTGAATTGTAAGATTGTATTTGATTAGCTAATTGCTTGTTTTGACTATTAATTCGCTTATGAATCACTTATGAATTACTTATGAAACCGTCTATAAAACCACATAATCATTATAAATCATCATTGTATTTAATTGGTCAGTTGCTTTTTTGCTCATACGTGTAATCATATTTGTGTATTATAAATAGTTGAATTGAGTATAGAAGTATAAGCAATTAGTTTTGAAGTTTCAGAGTTTTGATATAGTTTCAGGGTTTTGACATAGTTTTGGGATTTTAACATAGTTTTGGAATTTTGACATAGTTTCAGAATTTTAACATAGTTTCAGGATTTTAATATAGTTTCAGGATTTTGATATAGTTTCAAAGTTAGTTTCGGTTAATTAAAACTAGTTTTGGTTTCAGTTATTAACTTTATATAGTTTCGAACAATATTATTAGAGGTATCATTAGCTTCAAATGAAATATAAATACAAATAGTACTTTGTTTTTTTTGAATAAGTCTTTCATATTTTCAACTCTGCTTAATTAGGTGAGACATAATTATGAATAGTGTTTTTTTTTTGAATAAGTCTTTCACACTTTCTGCTTTATATAAATTAGAGTATTATTAGCTTTGGGTGAGGTATAGATATATATAGTATTTTTTTTTAAATAAGTTTTTTACACTTTTAACTCTGCTTAATTAGTATATAATTAGCTTTTGGTGAGGCATAAATATGAATAGTGCTTTTTTTTTTAAATAAATCTTTTACAATTTTCTCTTTGCTTAAATTAGGAAGTCATTAGCTTTGGGTGAGATATAAATATGAATAGTATATGAATAGTGCTTGGTTTTTGAATAAGTTTTTCACACTTTCAATTCTGCTTAATTAGGTAAAGCATAATTATGAATAGTGTTTTTTTTTGAATAAGTCTTTCACACTTTTACTTTGTATAAATTAGGGTATCATTAGCTTTGGATGAAGTATAGATATATATAGTACTTTGTTTTTGAATAAGTTTTTCACATTTTCTACCTTTTAAATTAGAGTATTATTAGCTCAAATGAAACATAAATATAAATAATGTTTTTTTTGAATGTTTTTTATACTTTTTATTCTGTTTAAATTAGAGATGTTATTAGTTTT